GTGCAGTTTAAATAGACCGCCAGATTGGAAGGGTGCGCTTGGTTAGTGATTATGGAGTGAGGCATGTCATGTGTGTATATCAGCGTAGCTCGAGTTGACTGACTAAACTAGCTTGCAGGCTTCACTCCATTTGATTGTTGAGTTTGATTGACCCCAGGTTGTCAAATACAAACGCTGTGAATGACACTCAACAATCAATTATCTTCAAGACACCAACCCAAACCATCTTAATATCTTTATCAGCTCTGTTTGGTTGTTTTTGTTCAGGCCCGGTGGATTCTTGCAAATGCTATTAGCAGCACCAGGAGGAGCCAGAGGATCATCTGTCTCATGTACTACTGTCAGGATATAGGGAAAGTTTAGTTACCTACTGCAGCCTTAATAGATTAATTGTCAGCTATTAAATTAATTGCCAACTATAAATCTCTGATTTCACCTTCTCAAATATGAATATTTTCTAGTTTCTTTAGTCCTCCATGACAATAAATTTAATATCTTTGGGTTGTGGACAAGCAAACAAGAGAAAAGCAAACAGTGATCAACATTTTTTACTATTTTCTGTCAATTTATAGACCAAAAAAATAACCAATTAATTGAGAAAATAATCAACAGCTGAATTGATAATGTGAATAATTGTTAGTTGCAGCCCTAGTTACATTCCACCATTGCATATCTGTGAAACACTTTTTGGCAAATGAAAGGAATATCTTTGTCCATCCATAGCATCTTACATATAAAACATGAAATAGTTCCCTATTTGGTGTTATAACAGCGCACTCGTTTATCACAAACTTCTTGCAGTTACTGTGTTCAGTGTTTGGGTTTCTTGTTTTGAATGTAATATGAAATATCCATAAAATATGTCACTTGAGCAGGGGTCGTCAGTTTACTAAATGACAGTAAAGGGGTCCTTTAAGATAAAAGGTTGGGAACCACTGCTCCAAACAATGAAGAAGTAAAGCAAATGTAAAAAAAAAAACCCACTGGGCTAGGGTTATCTTCATTGTTTTTTCTTTGTTGCAAAACAGTGAGAATTTTATTTTTTATTCCAGCTCTCACAACACGTATGAAAGAGAAAACAGAAGTGAGAGTGGATTTATATTGGTTGGATGGTTGGTACGCTGTGTTATGGCTGTATTTTTATCACCTCCACTTTATCTTCATTCTTTTTTCTTCCATGTTCAAGGCCTCGGAAGCCATTTCAGATATTATTACAGCAAATATATCTAATGCTGTCTATCAGTGCAGTATATCTGCACAAACCAAACACTGCTGGCTGATGAAGGTAGCTGGGGAAAGGACTGCACATGGGAGACATGGCCAACACTCAGTGCCACTTGCAATTACCGCTTTCATTTCAGCTAAGACCATTTAGCTCATTTAAAAATCAGCAAAAAGCTATTACCGGGGTAAAACTTGCATGCTGTAGTGCTAATGAAAGTTAACTTAACATTGACGTTTGCTCACCAAGCAAAGATAACGCTGCCAATCAGTCTGTCACTGGCTGGAGAAGGAAGCAGAGATCTTAGCGGGGTTACAAAACAGGTGTGTGCACTGTAAGAAAGGTCCGCCTTATCTAGAAAAACAGCACTGGTCCTCTATACTTCCTCTGTCTTTGGCTGCTCCCTGTAGGGGTTGCCACAGTGGCTCATCTGTTGCATATTTGACTTGGCATAAGCTTTTTACGCCGCATGCCCTTCCTGAAGCAACTCTGCCTGTTTATCCAGGCTTGGGTCCTGCAATTAGGAATGCACTGGCTTGTGCATCCCCATGAGGCATCCATCCCCAGGATCCATCCCCAGGAAGGAGAGTTTCCCTAAGCTTCACCAGAAAGATATAAAATAAGAATTGTACCTCTGTCACCTTCTGTCTAAAAGAAATACCTTCAGATAGGGCTAATCTGACTGCAGATACACAGAACGATCTGGGAAGTCATCGTTGGAAACTGTTTGGAAAAGGGCTGGCACTAAAAATACATACAAAAAGGTGATTGGATGAACCATCTGTCTATCACCATCTATCAATAGCCAAACCAATCAGACCAATGAACCATATAACACTCTTACCAAACCCGTGGAGTAAAGCCTTCAGTGCTGTTCTTTGCTCATCTAATAGAACTGATGCTAGCAACATCTACGCTAACCTCTTTAGCAGCTGCCATTGTTGTTTTTGAGCAAACAGTCACTTCTCACACCCAGTGTCACACACACACCCAGTGTTAAACCACACCCATAGCTCGTGCTGTAGCTTCCAGTGGTTCCTCAAAGGACTCTGCATAGCTTGAAGCCTGGCAAGATGGATTCTCTCCTGTTCTCATGATTTCATGATCTTGCAATCAAGGCCTTGCAAGTTTAAAAATAGGGCTGCAAACAACATTTTTATTATTAATTTATCTGCAGATTATTTTCTCAATTATTTTTTTTATTGTTTCATTTGTTAATTGTTGGGTCTATAAAATGGCATAAAATGTATCACAATTTCCCTAGATACCTAGTTGACATATTTAAATGGCTTGTTTTGTCCATGCAGGTCCAAAACCCAAAGATATTGAGGGCCAGATGTTTCGCATTCTGCTGTATTTATCAAACAGGCACACCAGGTTACGTGTCATTTGTGCACGTGTCTGAAAGGTGCACCTCTCCTCATTGGGAGAATTGCATAAATAAGAGAAGGTGACTTGTTAACAAGTTGATTATGTATGGATTTAATGAGGTCACACCACGCTATGAGATTGTTGTTTTTTATGTTTTTCACACTGAAATGGTCTCAAATCTACTAATCTATTTAAAATACAGAGATATGTTGCTTCCAAAAACAACAAAAACTGCCTTTTTACAGAAATCTTTAGCTTATCGTTTTAATTGCTAGATAGCTTTTAATTACACTACCTATACAGACCAAGGGTGTGTTTTAAGTCTGCTGTTCCTCTTAAAAGGTACAAGTTCTTCTTCTCATTTTGACCTCTTGGCCATCTGTCTTTGTCTTTTCCCAGGATCCCTCAGTGCAGAAGGTGGGCGGAGGCAGGAAGAAGACTGTGTCCTTCAGTAGCATGCCCTCAGAGAAGAAGGTAGATGAGTATAATTGAATTACATTATATACAAAGCTATAAAAACTTAAAATTCTGTCATACTTTTGTGATTGAAAATGGATCATAAAGTTCGAGTTGATTTTCTGTCCCAGGTGAGCAGTGCCGCAGACTGCTTGGCGTTTATGCAGGGCGGGTGTGAGCTGAAGAAGATCCGACCCAATTCCAGGGTTTACTGCCGTTTCTACACCCTGGAACCAGACCTCAGCTGCTTACGCTGGGAACCGTCAAAGAAGGACGGGGACCGGGCTCGACTGGACGTCTCCAGCATCCGGGAGGTCCGTACCGGAAAGAGCACCGAGACGTTCATCCATAACGGTCCTCTCTCTGAACACCTGGCTGAGGAAGCAGCCTTCTCCATCATACATGGGGATGACTACCAGGTACCATGTTAATGTTGAGACATCCAGAGTGAATAATCTTAGTTAGTTATCCATCCACCCAGTAATTTTTATTATCTATCCCTGCCCACAGTCTCTGGACTTGGTTGCATTGTCGGCAGATGTGGCCAACATCTGGGTGACCGGCCTTCGCTACCTGTTGGCCCACCCCTCAGTCATCGGGGCGGCTGGGGGAGGTGGTGGAGGGCTGGGTGAAGGGGGTGGTGTGGCTGTAGAGGGCAGCCTGGGAGGCAAGATGAGGAGTGAGTGGCTGGCAGCGGAAATCGCCCAGGTGGATGAAGACGGCTACGGCATTGTGTCTGAGGACGTGGCAGTTGCCACCATCTGTAAACTGTGCCCCGGTATCAAGGAGGCCAAGGTGAGGGAGGCTGGGCCTTATGGTTAGGTACAGAATAATTTAAAATCACACGCCTTTATGCAAATGATTCATGCAGACGTGGGTGCTGCACATTGGGAAAATGATAATTGCGTCCAAAAAGACTGGGTTTGCTGGTTGCATTTGAGTGTCTTACATTCATCAGGTGGCCAGAAACATGACTGCAAATTGAGCACCATATCAACTCTAACTAAAGGTGATAATATGTCAATGTTGTGTTCACAGCTTACCGCTGCCCCAAAATGGCATCAAAAATCAGTTACTGCAGGTTTAAAATCAAGTAAAGAGCTACCAGAAGAGCTCAGAATAGAAAGGTCAAAACAAAATGACATGGCAGAAAATCACTTGTGTCCTCTTGGTTTGAAGCATGGCTCCAGTTATAATCTGAGCTTTTTGGGGGACTCTAAAAAAAGCAAATTTAGGGGTAGATATAATTAAAGAATAATCTAAGAGGCGTGCTTTCCGAGAGACAGACAGAGAGAGGCTTCACCACTCATTATGTGGTCCAACACTTTCACACACACAGTAGCCCACTGTTTGCAACAACTAAATCAAGTTGATTGCAACAACCCAAAATTGCCCTGCCATACTGCAACAGTTTCAATTGCCTGAAATATGCCAACTGAGGAAACGCATTTCCGCCCTTTTTGGTTTCATATGTCAGTAGGTGTTGTTATTTTTTACACACTGCTGACTTCTTTTGAATTAATGAAACCGAAACTGACATGCAACCAATGTAGATTTTCCTTCATATCCTTTATATATATATATATATATATATTTTGCTAGTACAGATGTAAAATAGATCTTAAATTGCATTCATAAGGGTCCTAAAAAGGTCTTAAATTCAACCTGTTGTAACCGGCAGAAACCCTGCCTAAAAAAAACTCTTACACTGTTGTTTGTGTTGCACTTGGTATTTTTACACATAATTATTGTATTTTTGAAGGCAGTAAAGACAGAATATGTCTGATTTATGTATTCTCAGTAAAACTGAAATAATGATTAGTACTAATGTTTACAGCAAGGCACTGTTTTTGGTTTTCATGTGCCATAAATGAAAAATTGATTGCAGAGAAAGATTGTTCACACAGCTTGCCTGCTTATGTTGCCCAATTTAACAAAGTAATATGTATTAGCATTAAGCTTAAACACAGCTACCTAGCTGTCTTATATGAACAAAGCTTAGATATTCACCATTTTGGAAGAAGGCAAAGTCATCATGACTGTCAAAAACAGCAGGTGATAAAAAGTCTCCATTCATCTAAGCTACAGCTGCAGCAGGAGCAGCATGTTTCCTGAACAATGGTTTGTTCCTGTATTTGAAGCAGCACAACATTACTTACTTCTCCCATTTTCCCCCTCCTCTATCACCTACTGCCTCAACAGCCGGCCAGACAGAGAGGGACCGAATTACCCTGGAAACAAAGAGAGTGTAGAAGTGTATATTGGCTCAGACAGGTGACATGACTGCTGACGAACCTGCAAGAAGTCAGACACACTGAGTTCACCAAGATAATATCAGAGAGGGAAGATTTTTAGAAGCATGGGCTGAGCACAGAGCAAGATGAAACAATGAGAGAAGAAGGAAGGGGAAGCAAGAAAGGAAAGAAAAAAAGGAAAGGAAAGGAAAAGAGGAAGGAAAGGAAGTTGGAGATGGAGAGATGACAGAAGGGTCACTTTAATATCCTTTCTGAAACAAGATAACTAAAGTTTAATTAAACATACGAGCTTCATTGAATGAACAAGGACAAATTTTGGCTAATTCAGTCACTTCCTCTCTGGGTCAATAAACTGTCCGTCCTGCCTGATCCTCTCTCTCCATTTTCTCTTTCCGCAGGTCCGCCTGCGTTTTAAGGAGATCCAGCGCAGCAAGGAGAAGCTGACCTCCCATGTGACACGCGAGGAGTTCCAGGAGGCCTACTGTGAGCTTTGCACCCGGCCTGACGTCTACTTCTTATTGGTGCAACTGTCAAAGGACCGCGAGTGTCTGGACCCTCAGGACCTGCGCCTCTTCTTGGAGACGGAGCAGGGTTTGTCTCTGGCGACAACCGAGGGCTGCTGGGAGCTTCTGAGGCGCTGTGAGCCCTCGGCCCAGGGCCGGGAGAGGGGGCTGCTGGGTTTGGATGGATTCGCCCGCTACCTACAGTCTCCTGAGTGCCAGCTGCTTGACCCAGAGCACCTGGGAGTTTGTCAGGACATGAACATGCCTCTGTCCCACTACTACATCAGGTGCATGTCACATTTTAGTCTAATTAGAGCCGTTCAAAATAATGATCAGAATAGTTATCCACAATCGACCCTTCCTAAGCCCCTTAGATAGGCGATGTGCTAGGCTTGTCTATGGTGAAAAGAATGGTTAAAAGATCATTGATCATGAGTTTTAAAATGATTTTATATTCATTTTGTGTCATATACAGTATATAGTCACAACTTTAGTTAGCTAATGGTAGCAAAACACTAGCTAACTTGCTAGGTAATGTAGCTAGCTAATTACCCTTTTTGCTCTGTAACAAAACACAAGCTAACTAGCCAGCTAACGACTTATGTAGATTAGCTAGCTAGTTAACTGACTTAAGATGCGACTATATATATGTCACTTATATCTTTTTACCATCAGGAAAGTAGAACATTGACTGAGGCTTGCTCAACTGTTTAGGAAGGGTCAATTAGTCATAATTCCACTGACATTTATATAACTGCCAAACATAGAAGTTAATCTCGTAGTTCCACACTTTGAGTCATTGAGCATTACCTGTATAAGGATTGGAAAGATGTGTTTGCCTGTTCTAACGTAGGCTGCACACGTTAGCATGTCCAGCTAATATCAGCCTAGCATTCGTGTTACTTACCAAGCCAAGAAGCTCATAAGCTTAGTCTCTTACTTTGTGCATCCACTGTGTGGAAACCAGTCCTGGATGATCATATTAGAGCTCACCGTAAAGTCGCTCACATGTAAACTTCCCCAAAACCAAATAGGACAGAGCCACTATTCTGTAAACTGTAAAACATAGCTAACTATCTAAAATCATTCATTCAACAGTCCCTTTCTAAGCGTGTCCATTCATCTGCCAGATGGCTCTGCTTACTCACTGTACTCTGCATGCCAACATAAAAACAAACTTTTTTGAGAAAAATATACAGAAGAAAGAAAGAAGTTGTCACTTTATGTATCAGTACATATTTTTTCCTCTTCTCTGACACACTAAAATATTTTCAGCTGTCATTTCCTGCAGTTATTACTGAAGTCACTCTTTGGGTTATACAGTTTGGAATTTGAAATTTAATATACATAATAGAAGATATAAAACTATAAATTAAAGTATATACACTATGCATTGTTCAAGTAGGAAATGAGCAGAAAAATTAAACTAAACTAAACTAAACTAAACTATAACAAGTGGAAATTTAAATATAAATAGTGCAAAAGGTTTGTGCGTTGTAGGAGTTTTAAACCAGTCTTTGTCTGCGGGAGTTGGAGGTACTGGGTGCTGTGGCATAATTTAGAAGCAGGCTTTTATTTGGATTAGTGTATAAGTAGTTTTGTTGATTTTTTTCTCCTCAGCACCTCGTACCGCTCCTACTTGCTGGATGACCAGGTCCACGGCAGGGCAGACCTAGGAGGCTTGATCAAGGCCCTGCAGTCCGGCTGCCGATGCTTGGAGCTGGGGGTGACTGACGGCCCAGAGGGGGAGCCTCTTCTTGGGGTCGACTATGGTCCAGATATCCCCCGCCACCATCATCACCACCACCACCATCACCACCACCACACACCTGTCACTATCCGCTCTGCTCTGGAAGTGGTCAATAAGTATGCCTTCCTGACCTCTCAGTACCCACTCTTGCTGTACATATGCCAGCGTTGCTCTCCTGCCCAGCAGCGGACCATGGCACAGCACCTGAAGAAAGTGTTTGGCTCCCGTCTTTACACTCCAGAGGCCCTGCCTGTCAGCCTAGGAGGGCGAGCGACAACCTGACCCTCCCCCGAGCAGCTAAAGGGACGCATCTTAATAGTGGGGAAGAAGCTGCCTCCAGAGCAGGAGGGCTCTGATGGGGAGGTATCTGAGGAGGATGAGGAGATAGGAGGAGGGGGGCCTCTGGCGGGACGGCGAATGACCATCCCTGGTGAGGAAGAACTGGGTGTGGTCCTGGTGGTGCCTCCACCCTCTCAACCCAGAAAACTCCGCCTCCACAAAGAGCTGTCAGACCTGGTGGCTATAGCTCGGACGGGCAGCCGCAGCTTCTATGCTCAGAGAGCCAGTCACAAACTGGCTCAGCAGCAGTCCCCACCCAGCAGCCCGTCCTCTCCCAGCACACCGATGCCTCCTGAGCCGCCTTATTGGACGCTTTGCTCCCTGGGTGAGGGAGAGGCTGGGCGACTGACCACTGAGAGCCCAGAAGACCTTGTAATGTTCACCAAGCGCACCCTAACCAGGGTACGACCCAGTTCAGTGCGTCTGGACTCCAGTAACCCCAACCCTCAAGGATACTGGAAAGGAGGGGTCCAGCTCGTGGCCTTAAACCAGCAGACCCCCGGCGCCATGTTGGACCTACACAGAGGTCGCTTCTCACAGAACGGAGGGTGTGGTTATGTTCTCCGACCTGCTGTAATGAGGGACGAGGTGTCATATTTCAGTGCCCACACTCAGGGCTGTATGCCGGGAGTGCCACCCCAAACTCTGCGGATTAAGGTGTTCTTTAGATTGAAACATTTGGTTTCGAGATATATTCAATGCAATCAATGAATTAATTTAACATCAACTGCTTTGCTTTACAGGTTATCAGTGCCCATAATCTGCCCAAGCCTCTGGGATCAGGGGCTAAGGGAGAGGTCATTGACCCGTACGTCGTTCTGGAGCTGCATGGCGTACCAGCAGACTGTGCCGAACAGCGGACCCGCACTGCTGCCCAGAACCAGGACGACCCACTGTTCGATGAGACCTTTGAGTTTCAAGTAAGGCACAACTGTGAGCTTCTGTTCAATGGAGCAGATGCTGGTCTGTTTGTTTATGGCTCTTTTAAGGCTCTATTTGTGAGTTTATTTTAATTTTCACTTTTCAATTAATGATGTAATTACTGATATGAAACTGGGGAAATGCTCAAGCTTTGGGTACAAATGAAGGTGAGTATGTTGACTAATGTTGGTGGACCAGAAGGCGAGTTTGGCACCCAACAGTACAATCCTGAGTAGGGCATGACGCAGCCTTAAAGGGGCAGTTCACCCCAAAATCAAATATATATCAAGTGGAGCTTTCTGGTTCTATCTAAATTGTCCCAGTCATTGAATTGTCTTGAGTAACCAGGTGCCATCTGCTTCCATTATACTGGAGAGAAGACTTACATCTCTACAGCCGATATCTCCAAAGCTCAGCCACTTCAACACCAAAACAATCTAGATGGATAAATAGCACTACAGGGAAGAGGAAAAATATTTATTTTTATTTTTGGGGTCAACTGTCCCTTAAATACATGGTTATAAGAAGGAATTTATTATCGGTAGGTGGATTTGGGTTCATTAATGGTGAATCACATTAAGTCTTCTCATTTTCTTTAAAAGAAACAAACATTTTCCTAATGGGCCGGGAGGAAACTGTAGGCTACTGTTCTTCCCTGGGAGGTCACAATAAATTTCAGGGGTCATTATATATATAAAAATAGCCCTCTTTAAGTAAATGAGTCTTTTGTGAGACATCCTACTCATCATAATGTTCACAAAATGATCTTTGCACTCAGGGTAAGTGTTTAAAAGGTTGCATTCACTTGGTTATATTTAGGTTGTTTACATACAGCAAAAGGTAAGAAAAGCAATAGCCTGTTGATCCATTTACATAATTGCATGACAGCTCCTCATAATAATCCTGTTTACAGCACTAAAAATATTATTTTCATTTTTGAGAGAAAATTGTTTAGTTGGTGTTTTTCTTAAAGGAATAAAATGTGCCCAGAGCTCAGGATGCATCCTGATGTCCCAGTTCAGTGAAGCTGGTGCACTTATAGCTTGATGCTGTAAAATACTGTGGATGGCAATGTTGTTAAGAATCATCCAGCCCAGTACAGACTCTGCTTTTATTGCACAAAATTGTATTTTAATATGCATTTAAAATACCAGATTAAACATTAATTGGGAAGCATAGGAGGGAAATGTCAACAGCATAAAAGAGGCTTATGTGATTTTGGAGATGTCTCTGTGTACTCTTCTGCCGCTTTGCAACTGCATGAAAATAGAACCTCAGAATACTTAATTGGAGGTGGGAGGGGGCAAGACCATCAAGATTTAAATTAGGTGCTATGAATTCACTTCTGTCTCCATCAAATATATTATAGGAGATAGGATATGATGACTGCGTTGTTGCTGATTTCGCCTTTTTAGCCCGCACTGACAGAGCCCTGTATTACAAAAGCTGAGAAATAATGAAAAGCTGTCACAACTGATATGGTGTGTTCTCTGTGGCAACATCGTGTGTGTGTGTGTGTGCGCAAAAGAGTTGTGTAATACCTGTAATTCAAAAGAATATTTGACTATAATTACATTGGCTCTTTGGCAGTAGACAGACCCAAAGTGACATTTGAAAGCACAATTTGGCTGTCTGACAAAAGTGCTTGCAAAATGCAACCGCTGCTAATGTGCAATAAGTGAGTCATAGTTGTAATTAATTAAAGATCCCCTCCAGACAGCTCAAAATTTCATTGTGGCAAACGTTAGAGTCCAAATGATTTGACAAGGAACAGATACTTTGTGTTGTGGGAATTAAATAAGACTCGTCTGCTGCCATTCGATTTTGATTCGTTTTGTTTAGTTTTTGTAAAGGGCTGTCCCTTCGATGAATCCACGGGAAGGCGGACCACGCTGCAAGGGACCGCGATGTTGGATTGAGGCATAATGGTTCAAGTAGGGTTGGGAGTGTACTTCTTCTAGAAACCCAGACATGTGCACTTACAAAATTACAATACATTAACATTTTAAATTGCCACTCTGTCTCAACCTGCCCCTGTTGGACAGCTCCTCTTTTTTTAAGGAGCCATGTGTCTTTTGCTCCAGCAATACTCGATGAAATCATATTGTCATGTTGTTAGGACTGCGTTTTTATGCAAGGCCAATTCAGGACATTCAGCTCGTCTATTTTCATGAGGCGCAGTCTGCATCTAAGAATGGTTTTTTTCTTGCAAACTGCTGCATAGATAGTTAAGATAAGGATCCACTTTGCAAAAGAAGGCAGAGTATTGTGGCATTTTGGATGTTAGATTAGAAAAATGAGCTTATGGCTTTTTTTCCCCCAATTGAATGCATGTTGAAGAGATTAAAATAAAAAAATTGATATTACAGCCATCATTCATTTTTTTGGTGAGTGCACTGAACTAACGTATACATGCTAGTCATACTGAAGAAACTGTGGACCTTGGCTGGTGGAAACTTAGCAGTGTAAGGGGATCAATGTAAGGAGCAGAGAATTCGATTGGCATCATGGAGAAGAGGTAGGTGGTCTGGGTGCTGCATTTGTTGCTGGCTTTTTGAGGAGAGAGCATTTGTGGGTTTTGAAAGCTGATTGAATTAACTGTGGCGTACAGGAGGCTGTTTGCTGCGTGTCAGCACAGGGCTTGTTGCTGAAAGAAGTTGAGAAATATGGTGAGTGTGGAGTCATGTTCGGTAGACACGGTACACACGGCGCACATCAACAGTCACAGCTACAACGAGCACACAGACACACAACCACACAGCGTATCTGGTCTGACGTTGCCGACATGGCATGGAAACTTAGCACAGCGGCCCCCGCCACCCGCCAACAACACACACAACCAACTCAGGCCTTATGGGAGATGGGGGGGGACACATAAGAAACACAGTCATGTGGCAACACAACTACTATTTTGTACGAGTATGTGCAGGTCAAACCTAAGGGTGACAGGCGACAGTCCTTGTTGCAGGGTCAGTGTGACATGGTATCTCTGCTCCTTCATCCATCACAACAGCTTTTCCCTCATATCAGAATAAGACTCACGTATTTATTGAAACATTACATTAACGATAGCCCAGGCATGAACACTGAATGTGTTTATGTGGTGTGTAACAAATATATGTTGGACAGAGTTGGGTATTTTTGTGCGTGTGTCTGTATTATTCTGTCTTTTCATGGAGATGAAATTTCTAACCTTAAGTGGGCGCTTGGATTGGTGTCCCAATTCAAGAGCTACTGTCCTTGCGATCCACGAAGGGGCCGTGTCCCATTCCAAAGGCTCCTTGTTGAAAATACAGGCTGAGAAATGTGTCCATGTTGGTTGCCTGAATTTCTGAGGATGCAGTTTGAGATGGTCTCAGGTATGACAGGTCAATTGTATTGGTATGTTGTATAGAATTTGTGCCATGGGAGGATGAGTATTGTCGTCCAGAGTCCAAAAGTTGAGGCGGTAGTCCTGGTGTTCTGTAGACGAAAAAGCAATCGGATTTTTGGATTAGTTGTAAAAAATGAAAGCCATCTGTGGTGAAAAAGGGTTGAGGAGTTACACGAATGTTTGTTTAGTAAAATAATCTTA